CGGGAAACATAGGGACTTGTGAGAAGGGAAGGAGTGTAGCATAAAAAATTATTTTCCTAAAAATATTTTCTACTTTCTAACCAAACACTAGAAAATATTCTCCGGAAAAATCTTTTCACTTACCAACTAAACAAGTGAAAATAAGTGATAATACCACGCATTTTCCTTCGTACCAAACACACCCTAAGAGTAAAATACAATAAGCAATCCATAGTTACCTCTCAAAACACCAAAATAACCACATGATATAGCTACCTTTAAAAGCAATGATACTGTATAATGATCCACAAATACTTGTCAAAACATCAAAAGAATCACATGATACAGGTACCTTTAAAAACAATGATACTAAATTAAATGATGATCTTACCATCAAAAAACATGGTCTTTAAACTGCTCCGGCTAACATCTGATTGGCTACGAATGATATGCTGCATTCCTGAATAATTTGAACAGCAAGATACATCATTAGGAAAAGATTAACCTGAGTAAATCCCAAATCCAGCACCCTAAAAATCTTGAAGCTGAATTTTCGATGCATGAGCATGACCTATTGAACACAAGGCATTTTCTCTAGCCTCCCTAAATGGATACATGATTTCCCATGTGAGCAAGATGAACTCCATTATACACATCAATATACGATAATATACTCTTAAAAATGAAGGGATAAGTGGAACTAAATACACTTTCAAGAGAAAAAGTGAGAATGTACCGTTGTTAGAGGAGTTGTCAAGTGCGGTATCTATTTAAACTCGACTTCAGCAGCTTCAGATAAGTAATTCAATAGATAGAAAGAATAAATAGTACAGAGGCCTTTCATTACCCTTTAAAGGGTATAAATTTCTCCTCCTTGGCTTTCTCCTCACACAAATCAAGCAACAAGTCATCAATATGGCATGTCTTGACCTTACTATACTTTTAAGCAGCTATCCAACGTTCTCTTCCAACAAAGATTATCCAAGTAATATTTTCCAACCCTTTCTCCATGACAATGTTATTTGTGAAACTTGAATCTCTCCCTCTTCCAAGAATCCTCCAAGTTATAGAAAGCATGAACTCAAACCATAGCACAAGTTCTTACTATAACTAAGATGTATTTATTACATTCTTGGGAGAACCTTGGATCCAAGGGCCTAAATTTACTGCCACTTGTTCAAAAGCCGTGTATCAGTATAGTTGCTACCAAAACAAATGAAAGATGTAAACCCTCTACACTTTCTTTGTAGCTTTTGCACAATATCTCTTAGGTCCTGCATACAATTTCTTGTTGAAAACCTTATTCTGTGGTAGCATCCAACTATCCTCATCGTTGGACAAAGAAAGAAGTCAAAGATGCTAAGTAGCATATATAGCAACTTCATGTGGCCGAGTAGTAATAAAAATTACACTACTGTTAGCATCATCAAAGCCCAATTTAAGTCAACCCATGAACTATATGTCCAAATACAATCAAGAATGATAGGGGATTCTCTTGAGCAATACTCCCTCCGGTTCACAATAAGTGACCAATTTGCTTTTAGTACGCCCATTAAGAAAATACTAAATTCTATACAAAAATACCTACTATAACTAAACTACCCCTAATTAAACATTTAATGTGAGGAGTAAAAAACTTTTTAGGAATATGTACATAAGGGTTATTTTGTAAAAACAAATTGAATTCTTTCTTGATTACGTAACTGGACACTTATTTTGAACCAAAATGAAAAAGCAAATTGGTCACTTATTGTAAACGGGAGGGAGTAATAGTTTTATTCAGTTGAGCTACCTTTTTATCTTTGGGAGCTTTCTCGAGAGAAGTAATCTGAACAATGTTTTTTATAGAATATATAAGATCTTTTACTCCATAAGACTTAGATAATATATTTGGTGATAAACAAAACCCCTAAATATAAATTTCAAATTTGAATTTTTATGGAAGGGAAATGAATTAGGAGAGAAAGAAAGAAACCTTATGTAACTTGAATACAGTACAATCATTTACAATTATGCAGCAAAGAGATTTACATAGACATCTATTCACTGCAAACTAAACATTAACCTTGCTTCTGTTAGCCAGAACCGCATACAATTTAACAAGCTCTTCCTTCACCATGAAAAGTACAGAGGCTGCAAAGACGCTCTGTACTATCTTTGTGCGCATTCCCTGATAGAAGCTTTTGAATCCTTCATGACGAATCATCTTAATAACAGCATCTGCTGTACCTGAATATCTTAACGAGATATTTCCACCAATCTCCTGCTTGGCTTGAAGCCTAGACTTAACAACCAACAATGGATATGTCGAAACAGTTGCTCCTAGTTTAGCAAAGGCTCCGATTACAAAAACCTCCCAAGCAGTTGTATTTTGTACATATTTCTTCTTTGCAGCACGTTTAGTCCTTAACTGCTTTGACAAACTTTCATAAATCATGAACTGAATCGAGGGATTGGACACCATGATCAATGCTGGGATGACTCCTTTCCAAAATCCAATAACTCCGGATTCATCATAAATCTCACGTGCTGCTTGCAATGTTCCATAGGGATGAGGTTTCGATGAATCAAGCTCGGCCAGTTTAGCCTCCAATGAAGCAGCAGTGAAGAGATTTTCAGAAGCTTCCTTTAAAAGGGATTGCCTCTTTGCCTCCAAAATTTTCCTTTCTGCTTGTGTATGAGTCTGCATACGAGTAACAAGAATCCATATAGGGTTTGTCAGTAATACATTTAGTGATCCAGCAAGAGCTGCCACGACAAGCCAAGAGAACGCCCCAACAGAGCCATCCCCTCGACCTTTTTTCTTATTTGCAGATGCTATCGCCTCAGCCTTGTTCTTGAAAACCTGGTAAAAATAGTAGTACACACCCTGTGACACAGTGGTTCCAAGCAGGGAAGGCTTCAGGCCGCTATAAAGCCCCAACAAACCTTCGCTTCTAACTACCTGCAAAATTTGAAAAAGTGCACTGCCACGAGAATCCCGGCCCTTTTTCGTGACCCGCTCCGTCTGTTGCCGGGTATTGACAGTTTGGAGGGGGTAAGTAATTATTTGTGCAATTATGCCTCCACCAGCTCCAGCCAGCCCATTAGCCAAGGCACTCGACATGTTCAGTCTTTATTGTTCAGAGTAAGGACACTAGTTGTGCCCGGCAAACAAACTTCCTATGTTAATCTCAACAATGGTTAGTAACAAGTCCAACTAAACATTGACAATACACTTAAGCTCACTTGGTTTAGAAAAAAATTATATATTGTCATACAAAGATTTAATAATGCAAGGATTCTGATGGAGGGATTATTTTATATCAAACTTTTGGTTCGTAGTAACTAAGAAATGGATATGCAGTGTACAACTTAAACTTGTATCAAACTTTATCCATGTTTAATTCATGATGGTATTGCTAATAACACATTGGCGTTGGTATAAAATAATATAGGAATTGGAGTATAAAGCTGTACTAGGCATGTATTAACTACACAGGAATTGAAATTGCTACCAAACATTGGATAAGCAATGCATATATTTTACACCCTTATTTTGTCCAATATATCTAACCAAACACATCATTATTGAGTTCAAGATTGGAGATAGCCAGAGACTAAAGGAAAGGTTTTTGACTTACTATTTAATGGTGCCACAGTGCTCATACTTCAATTAATTAATGTATCCCCAACCTAGATGTCATCTCTATAATTGGCATGCCTGGACCAGGTAAAACACCAATATATATATATATATATATATATATATATATATATATATATATTCCATCTCATCTCAAAAAATATTTTTGATCAGATATGTCTTACCCAACTTATGCATGCCAACACTGAGATAACATCCAGGTACGACAATACTTTTGTGCAAGAATGGACGTAGGATAATTACTTAAAAGATCGTCAAACCTAGATGTTATCTCAATTGTTGGTATGCCAGGATCGGGTAAAAAAAACAAAACATACACTCTACAACTCTATATCATACTCAGAATATATATATTTTGGGCAGAAATGTCTTACCCAATCAGGCACAAAACAGGCTTATTGAGGAAACCCTACTTTTCTAAGGGGGCAAGGGAAAACGAGCATTTATAGAGCGGTACTAGGTTAAAGGTCTGACTTGGCATAACATGGGCTTCAGTTTTACATTTCCAGCTGAATGTGGGCTTGTGTTTTCAGTTTTAGCTTGTGAGTTTTTGGGCCACAATTAATGGATTTTGCTGATATTGGCATGGTAAGACAACGTACCCCGCAATTGGCAGAAAAAGGCATTAACTATAGATATTGGCATCGACTAGCCAATAAATATATATCAATAAATAAATATTGTTCATATCAAAATGTATATTATAACTTTATTTTCTTTCTTTGTGTATATCAAAATATATATCACAATTTTATTTTCCTTTTTTGTATATCTAAAATATAAAATTATAAATATAGTTGTTTATAATTTATTGTTCTCTATATCGAAGTGTATAACACCAAAAATATTTGTATTTTTTTTATATTAAAGTGTATAACACATTAAATAACGTATATACCAAAATGTATATCACAATTTTAGTTTTCTTTTATATATATATAAAATTATAAATGTAGTTATTTATAATTTATTATTACCTCTATATTCAAGAGTGTAACGCAAAAATAATTATATTTTTTTATATATTACAGTGTATAACACATCAAATAATGTGTATACAAAACTGTATATCACAACTTTATTTTCCTTTTTTCTACATCTAAAATATAAAATTATAAATATAGTTGTTTATAATTTATTGTTATCTCTATATCCAAGTATATAACATAAAAATAATTATACTTTTTGTATATCATAATGCATAACATATCAAATAATGTGTATACCAAATGTATATCACAACTTTATTTTCTTTCTTTACATATATTAAAATGTATATCAAAAATTTATTCTCCTTTCTTGTATATCTCAGTGTACAACATATAATTTTTCATGAATAATTATATGAATATACATAAATATAAGAATTACACTCTCACCAAGATTTGATGTAACGTTTTTCCCAACATTGATTTCTAGGAAGTTGCCAGCTATTATCACGTCAGAGAATTGATGATTGATCATAGAACATATAAGTGCCCTCATAGAACAAATCAAAATGAGTATGATACATCAACTCTGGTTTTGTATGAGTCTCCATTTGTCCAGATTTTATTTGATTTAAACATCCTCGTCTTTCAGTGACCATACCATATTTCCGTGCTTCGCTCAAACTCATCAAAACAAGTGGGTGGGGGTGGGGGGCAAGCAGCGAACAAGGGGGGATGGGAGCAGCGAAGAACAAGGGAGTGGGAGCGGCGAACAAGAGGGAGGGGCAGCAAATGGTGAGAGAGAATAAATAAGAAAATAGTAGGTTTTTAGGATTTAGTTATATAATGCCAATTATTTGGGGCTGTTTTTGACAAACTTAATATAAGGTTAAAAAAAATTCAATTTCTCTTATGTGTGTCACATGATGTCATTTTTTCAGTTACAAGTTGCAGTCCTAATTCGTGCTAAAAGTTTCTCGATCATCATTTTTTATTTAATTATTTTTGAAAATGATGTTACATGGATATTTTAAACCACTATTTATATTTTAATCATGTTAAGAAATATTTTGAGAAAAGCCTCGAATCAAATTTTCAAAGCACGCTTGGACAAATTTTCTTCGATTGCTAGAATTTAGAAGCACGTTTTGCAGACTTTTAAAGTACACAACAATTATGATGATCGTTAGGATTCACCACTAAACTATGATCATCAATAGAATTTTGGCCACAAATGCTTACAACATTCTAGTGATCCATCAGGATTTTGTGGCAAAATTTTGATAATCACCATAACTATTGTGTGCTTTACAATTATGCCCAGCGTGTTTTAAACTCGTAGCGCTTAAGGAAAATTTTATGCAGCATGCTTTAAATTATGGCATGCGACTTTTTAATAAAATATATGTTATCGATATTAAAAAATTAATAGTGGCACAAAAGTATCATATTTGTGTCGTTTTCCATAACCATTTGGTATTTGAAGTTTGCGATGTTTGGTAAGGAAAAGAGTTCCCAAAGTCAAACCTAATGGTAGTGAGATAACGATATGTGCGGCATTTGCACAAATGCTCGTACATGAAAGTAGAGTGTCGTCATTGATTAATTATCTAGAGATTATTGTTTAATCCTATTGTATATATCACTGCTATGATTTTATTTTAATGAATTCTCGGATGATACTTTTGACTCATACAATCAAAATCTTATCATATAACTGTGAGCACGTGATTTTTGTTTTACGCGACAATCACTCCAAAAGAAACAAAATAATAGCAATTGGTCTTGCTGTACATTTTGCTGGATTTTTACGTGGCATTTTTTTTTTTTTTGCTA